GAATTTACGCAGTCAAGAAGCAGCGGATCCCAGGGTAATGGTTGGCCCTTCAGTAACCGCAGCTGGCTCCAATGCCCGTGCCCTTACCAGCAGCGAGCAAGCAAACGGAGCTGCTCCCTAAGGCATGGGCTATTTTGACTTCAGGTCAGTTGGGAGGGTACGGCAAAGCAGCTTCTCACCTTCGCTGATCTGCCTCATGTCCTGGCTGTTCTGTATATTGTGGATCATTTCTAGCAGGATTTCTTTCTCTTGTTCCATAGCAGATGCTGCGTCACGGAAAGCCTCTACCCTGAACACGGTTGAACCAAACAAAATGTTTAAATAATAAAATAGCTGTTCACCTATATAGCTGCCACAAACTGTTTTTTTAAACTTCAGCTTAAGAAGTACAGTCAGTTCTTAATTATCCATGAGCCAGACTCTCTGATTTCATTACCTTCTCCTGTATCTTCAATTGTCAAGCAAGACTCAATAGGATTTTAAAAAACAAATATGGGAAAAAAAACCAACAGTAATTCGATCAGACTTAAATCTTTTATTTCACTGACAGAGCCATTCTATCCTACTCCGTGGTTAGTCTGGATATCCAGAGCCTGACGGTACTACAGCCCCGCAGCAGAAGTGCTGTAGCTCACTGGCAATTATCAGCTGCTTAACTAGAAGAGAAACAGACCGAGTCCCCGTCGGGGAACTTACTTGGGGGTGAAGGCTGCAGCTGCGGGGATGGAGGCAGCAAGGGGGCCTGGCTCCCCCGCCGCCCCCAAGCCAGCAGCACAGGACCCCTACGACCCACCTACAAAGCAACAAACGCGCCGGAAAACTCAAACACCGCCTTGTAGGCGAACGACCCCTTTCACGAGGGAGAGAAACGGGCGAGAGGAACAAAGCTCACACACTTTTTTTAACATGAGAAGGGCTTCACCCTGAGTGGCGTGCCTTGGTCGCTGGGAGAAGATGCTGGACCGCCTGCCCTCACGGTCACTGGTGTTTTCCATGGAGCGATGCTCGCTGTGATTCACGTGGGGAGGAAGCTTCTGTGGGAGCAGCTCCTATTTCTGGGCTTGCAGGGAAGCACGAAACCCGGTTCCTCCCGAAACAGGACCCCTACTCCAGTCCTGTTCGCTGTGCTGAAACTCACACAGGATGCGGCGAGGGCGAGGGGAAAGCCCATCAGAAACTGCTCTCCCTGGTAACTATTTGGTCGCAGCAAGCTGCGTGGTTGCGTGCCTGTGGTCTGCCCTCCTCGTGCCATAAGGTACAGGCTCATCTGGCCATGGGCGATGTGAAAATGCCGTACTAGAAATCTGAGTCTAGTTCCTTAATTCACGTCTTATTCCCCGCCATGGTCTTAGGGAGAGGGCTTTTGCATTCAGCCAAGTCATCTGGAAAAGCACATCTGGGAACTGTCGTCTTTGGAGAGTGGGGACAAGAGGGAAACATCCCCCTCCCTTGGCTTTGCCCTGGAGGCTTGAGGGCAGGGGCTTGTAGAGGACTTGCCCAGCTGTAACTCGCTGCAAGAGTTGAGTTGTGCCAAAAAACGTCAACTCTGCATTCCCAGACCCCGCAGAAAAGCAGAATATCACGTGAACCTGGCTGATGGATGCTCTCAACGCACAGCTCAGGAGGTCTAGCTGCTGTAAGCAGCACGGGAATCCATCTATCCTGAAATGTTTATTAAACCTGGCCAGAAAAGAGGAAACAAACCAAAACGTTAAGTCTCTCAGATGCCCTGCGCTCCTTCAACATTACTGGATGCTGCCCCGAGATGGTGGTGGCTCATCATCGCTGCTTCTATAGATAAGGGCTTGTCTGATGAGATAGGTATGGAGCTGCTGCTCCTTCCTCAAAGGCTGGCTGGGGGCAGGTAACTTCGGAAAAACAGCAGTAAGAGAAAAGAGGGCAAAAAAACGCAGAACGGGAGCATCTGAGGATATAAATAGTCACACTTCCCATGCAGCCTGCTCACGAAATGGTTGTGTTTTACAAAATATTTAGCCTAATTTAGTCAGTGAAAGCACAAGCTTTGGGCCTTGCCTTTAATGTACATTCTGAGGAGGAGTGGGAAAAGTTAATGCAATGCAAATTCTTGCCAAGAGCAAATACTTTTAATTATTATTTTGGACTGGTTAGTAAGAGCAATGAGGCAGGTGGAGTCATTTCATACTTCAGACGTCTGCACTTTGTAATTTAGGAAGTCTAGCAATATTTTCATAAATGCCTTGCCATGCCTTTTTAAAAAACTAGTTTTTCACAATTTAAAAAAATGCATTGTGGTCGCTGGAAAGTTTAAAATTAAACTCTGGAAGTATAGAGTTTCAATTTTAATAGTTTGTAAATCAGATTCGGTATATCATTGTACTGACTTTAAAACTAAAGGTCTGCCTTCAGCAGATATATCAGTCCGTGATTTCTACAGGCTTTGCTGGGCCCTATGAAGAATGTGGAAAAACTGCATTGCAGAGATGCATCCTGAATTGGTGCAACTCAAAAGAGAGTGCCTAAAACATCACTGCTTCCAAAAGCGCTGCTGGTACGCGAGGTAGGACCTAAAAGCCAAATTATCCGCATTAATGATTGTATACTGCAAAAAAACCCCATAATTTACCAACTAGAGCTTTGCTTGACATTATTTTACAGAAAGTCATATAACCAAATCTTGAGAACTATTTTATTTGCAATAATTGCTTCTTGGGAATTATTTTAACCACTTTTTCAACTGCAATACGGAGTGCCGCACAACTAAAATCCACTGGGATTTTAATTTTAGTGTATTTGCTTCCATAAACGGCAGTCAAAATGAGCGCCTACCCTGGCACCGCGCAACGGCACATGAAGGAGGCACGCTGGCTCCTGCCGCCGGGGCAAAGGGACAGGGAAGCAGCACGTCAGGACTCCCCCACCCCTCTGCTATCCCTTCTAAAAATTTCCATCTCGACCAATTATGAGCAGTGTGACGGGACCAAATAACCCTAAAAAATAAAGTCCTCGGCTTTCGGGGACCTCTCGAGGGCAGGGTGGAGGCACAGTGTGGTAACACAGGGGATGGGCAGCGAAGGCAGCACCTCGGCAGCCAGCCAGCGGGAGTTACACCCTCGAACAGACGGAGGGGGGAAACGGCCTGAGAAAGGCAAGACAGCGGAGCGGAGGAAATGGCCAGCTGCTGGGGACCCGGATGGCGTGGAGGTCAGAACAACAGGATAGGATCGTTTCAGAACAGCACTCCGGGGGGGGGGGAACCAAAAAACAAGGAAACCACTCACACCAGCCTCATGAAGATAGTTCGCGCTCCAGAGAAGATGCTGGGGGGCTTTATCAAGGTGAGATACCCACCACAGCCTCAGGCTATTTCGACACCCCGGCTTGTACCGAGGCCTCCCGGCACCTGCCCCCGCGCTGGGGTGGGTCCCACCGGCTCCTCCCGGCCCCCAGGCCACAGCCTGGAAGAGGCCCCGGCCCCGGCAGGGACTGCACACCTTTCTCTCCTTACTCGCTGCAAGAGTGTCACGTCCACATCTCGCAGTCAGCTCTCATAACTTCTTTCCTAAATGTGCTTTAACTTCACAGGTTTGTGTAAATCTTTACTTTCTTGGGGTGGGGGACCAAAAAAAAAAAAAAAAAAAGACTGGAAGAGATAAACCTCTAGCAGAGGTAACTGCCATGGAGAAGGGTGGAGACACAGTCCAAGTCTCAAAAAGCCAACTAACCGAAGAATAGAAGGCAAAGAAAAGAGAACACAAAATAATACTCATTTATGCCCAATTATCTCAATGCAGCAGTATGGTCTTTTTCCAATAGATGAAAACATCCGATCATATTTTTACTGGGACTGTATTTGTCGCTTTGAACATCAACTAAATATTTCCTCCATTACCTAAGACTAAAACAACATTCCTTACTTCTGATTTTCCCCGGTCCGAGAGCGATTAGCCACGCAGCGCCTTTCTTTCCTACATAGCATTTACATGAGCAGAGCATTCCCCCGAGGAACAGGTGGACCAGCCTGCGCTTTTGTTTCCACACGAGCAACTCGATACCTGCTTGCTCATGACAGCTGCAATAACTCCGTCCTTTAAACTACTGACTGACTGAAATAGCTCACTACTACAGCTTGTGCGCTGGAGGTGCAGATAAGTTTTCAAAGGAAATAAGAAACATCTGAAGACAGTGCAGCTTTTTCCCTGAAACGGAGCTGAGCACACTGGACGGAGACAAAGCAGGGGGGGTCACCCCGGCATCCTCAGCTGCTTAAGCTGAGTTTCCGTTCTCAGGTGAGCGGTCCCATGAACATACAAATCAATGGTGGGGGAATACAGTCGTTCCGAAGGAGAACAGGAGAAAAAGTACAAAAAAAATTAAGATTAAAAAAAAAAAAGGGGAAGAGCCTGACTTATCTCATGTATCATTACACCTAGGACTGCGCGTTCACTTGACACAACCACCAGAACATGGTGACTCATGAAGAGAGACTCTGGTCCCGCTTCCAGCTGCTCCCGAGATGTCTTGGCATTTGCCAGCAGCCAGGGCAACATGAAGGTCCAAGCCCTTACAAGGGACAAACGTGCCACCTGCCCCCCTTGCCGCCCCTCCTGCGGGGCTCGCTCCCTGGCAGCCAAATTAATCCCCCTTTCCCGCTCAGTTTCCCTGCAAAAGAAAGTCCCTCCGCAAACACCTAGCAGGGAGGTACAAAAATACCCCGTCACTATCGGAAAAGCAGCTCTCGTGGTGGAAGGGAAGGGAGAAGAGGGAAAGCTGTTCAAACCAGAGCATTTCCGAAGGGACGAGGGTTGCCACGGGGTTCGGCCAACCTTAAGCAACTTGAGAACTGAGGATTGTCGAAGGGTTTAACTAAAGGCTGTAGTTCACTTTGACGAATTTTCACTTATTGTATTTACAAGCAACATCTCGAGGGTCTATAGCTAAACTAAACTGGCTGGAGAGGGAAGAAGTGTGGAAGCTCTTCCTCCTGTCATTCAAGTAACTTTGAAATGAGGCACGTTGATCAGTTGTGCACGGAAAAAAAAATAAGACTTGAGTGACTTTAATCAAAGTAGTTTGACTCTTCTTTCGTAATTGTTCTGCGTTTAAAAATATGCCTGTTTGGAAGACCCACAGCAAACTGGCAAGTTTAACTTGGGGTTTAATTTCTGGTTAACCAAACTGTCTGCTTTGTTTCAGAGTCGCTCAGCAAATTGAAACACATTTTTGCATATTCTGCTGCTCCTTTTGTCATTACGTATTGACGCGCTAGACCTGGATGTGAGCAGCGAGACTTGTTTGCAGACAGCGATTTTGTTTAGTCAAATTTAGAGAAGTCTGCGAAGGACTTCAAGGAGATTTAATCAAGCTAAGTGAAAGGCTAATATAATAGCCCATGAAGTCCACTCCTGAATAATGCAAACTAATGCAGGCAGAAAGGGGAAAACGCAACTCCTGTGTGCCACAGAGCCCTTTTAATTACAGGAAAGTCCTAGAAACGTTCTGGGTGGTTCTGTGAAAGCTGCTGATCAATATGCAGCTGTAATGAAGGCAAGGGCGTGTTGAAACAGTACCGGCAGGAGGTGAATCAGTGGTACACCCATGGCACCTTGCGCATCCATCCACCTCAGGAAGGACACTGTGTAATTAGGCAGAGCTGAGAGGACGAGGAGGATGATTAAAGGCAAGGAATCGTCTCTCATGCGGCTGAACTGGGGAAAAAATCAAGTGGGATTATTTGGGGAACGTCAAGTAGCAGGAGGAGACAGGACGCGTCTTGGCGCAACAATGAAATGCACATCGTATTTGCGATTACTTTGGAAAAACATACCTAAGCTGCAGAACACAATGCTGTTCGCATCGCAGTTACAGGACTTCGTACAGTTCAGAGAGGAGGTGGGCATAAACATGGGTAACAAGAACATCCATAGCTGAGCCAGGGAGCGCAAAGGGAGGTTTGGGAGACACGAAGCCTCACGTGCTGGCATTCAGCACTGCGGCTTAAAGGCTTGCAAGAGCCTCCGAGAGCCTGAATGACACCACGTTTTATCCTCAGATTTCCTGCAACTTCTTGCAGAACACCTGCCCGACAGATGCAGGACAGGAGCTACCGGGCTACAGAGCGGGACGACAGACACGACCCACCACGGGGCGTGTACACGTCGTCTTGTACTGCTGCCCTGGCACCGCCAGCAACCCGCTATCCCCCGTTTGCTAAAGACCCTCCAAACCATAAATGGTAACAAATCCAAAAAAGCCGCCTGCGCTTTCGCTGAAAAGCGTCTGTTTTCATACATTCGCATACATCTTCCTATCTTCATGAAATAGGCCGCGCTATTTCACCTTAGGGCAGCAGCTGCCATTTTTAAACTTGCCTCTCACCGCCGCCCATGAAGGGGGATCCTTTTTCCCTCGGTCACCTCAGGGGAGCCTCACCCCAGCGCCGTTCCCCTCCCCTCCCGCCGTGGAAGGGCCCGCGCCCGCCGCCGGGCCG